TATTATTATTATTAGTATTATCATAATCATTATTACTATTACATGTATTACATGTATTACTATTATATCATAATTTGCTCACGTGTGCGTGTGACTATGATGTTGACTCTTTCTTTCCCCACGTGAGTTCCAGCATCCGGTGTCGCTGGTGCCCCAGTTCAGGCCGGTGGTGGATGGTCACGTCATACCAGACACACCAGAGAGGCTGGTGGCGCACGCGCACGTGGAGGGGACTGAGATACTCACGGGAACGACGTCAGATGAGGGACTTGTTGCTGGTGAGTGTAGAAATTGGTCAGGTTGTGTGTGTTATTATGTTGACTGCTCAGTGGGCGAGGTGGAGAAGATGTCTGCCACTGCTCCTTCCGTTCTTCCTGTTGATGATATTAATGATGATCATCATATCACATTATATATTTTTGAATATTTCTTAAGATAGTGCCGTCATAGTTCCCCAAAATATTCAGGTCTCCATAATTTTCTTCCTTCTAAAAAATGATGATGATGCTGAGGATGACGATGACGATGATGATGATGATGATGATGATGATGATGATGATGATGATGATGATGAGGATGAGGATGAGGATGAGGATGAGGATGAGGATGAGGATGATATAGTTAGGATAGTTTGTCCATCTATGTCAGATGTGGACAAATGCGGAGAAGATTGGTCTTTATAGTGGGGTGGAAAAAAATACGGACTGAGTTAACTTGATGAAAACGACGATGGGAGAGACTTAAACATTGATGAACGTGTCTGTTACAGCAGTCCCTATTCTCGAGAAGTACGGAATACGTCATCATGGCTTACGGCGCCTCCTGGCAGTCATGAGTGTCTTCAGCGTGGACCTGCCAGAGATCAAAAGCCTCATGGGTGAGTAGAACAGTGAACGTTTCTCCCCACGCAAACGCTTTCGCCAAGGCTTATTTGGTCGCTTTTAAGCACAAGCGGGCTATCCCGAAAAATGCTGTTTTGAGAAAATCTAAGGTAAAGCTTTGGCCACTTGTTCAGTTTCTTTAAAAGACAAAGAGAGTTTTCTCTATAACCAAACAAATATACACACCAATTAAACCAAACTTCCCCTAAAGGTATGGCAATGCCCACTTTTGGTGTTGGTCAAGATTTCCGGAAACCTCCGAAATCTGGGTTAGCCCGCTCGTCCATAAAAGCGACCATTTATGAGTTCCGACGTGGTGGAATCAGGCGCTCGTCAATTTTTGGGTATATAGAGTTATTGATATCGTCTTAAAAGCTGTCCATTTGCCTTGCGTTTGATGAAAACAATATCCTTCTAATTTGAATAGAAATCGAGGTGATTGCAATTGAAGGAGGTGGGAGGGGGCACCTAGTGCCAGAGGGAAAATTATCGAGAAATGGCTGTATAAGTTTGGTGATATCCAAAGCTGTGGTGACTTTGGTAATTGCAAATTTACAATATTGTTGTGCCTTTTATCAACGTTTTTCAGTAAAATCCTCACAGGAATGTGTTTGTAAATGGACATAAACGGTGTGGAGTCCAAAACAAATATATCATCGGGCTGAAAAATGTTGGAGGTTTTTTTACTTCATTATTATGAAAAGCGCCTGATTTCACAAGGATGCCACCACTTATGTATGAATAAATATCTTATAGTGCCTTTGGGACACTCGAAAACGCAAATTTTGTTAACCATACAAAACAATGTGTTTTATTTGTATTAAATTTTGAGATGGCTCAGTTAGCAGCTAGTATCATTCTCTGATCTGCCCGTACGTTACCAAACTTGAATTGCCTCCGATTTTCAATTTTTACCAGTGTATGGGTGGGTGGATGGGCTCTGTGTGTGTGTGTGTGTGTGTGTGTGTGTGTGTGTGTGTGTGTGTGTGTGTGTGTGTAAGGATGATTGTGTGGCCGGTTCCTTTACTTCACTTTTTCTCTCAGTGTTGTTATCACCCTATTCTGTTACATGCTGATTCATCGTAAAAATAGAAAGTACAAATATGTGTGTTGTGTGTGAGTGGGTGTGTGTGTGTG